TGTAAAATGGGGGTAAAAACCCTTTTTTCCCACAAGCTTATTGTGAGCATTAAATGATATGACTTGTATGAAGTAATAATGAAAATGAAATAATAATACTAATGAGAGCTAATAGTGATTAAGTTAGTTACTGATCTAAACTCTTTACAAGCTCATTTAAAACTTTTTTAAAATTTGGAAATAATTCTAGATTTGTAGGAAGTTGCAAAGTAGTACGACGAGATGCCTTGTACCCTCTGCCCAGTTTTCTCCAGTGGTTAAATCTTAAGTGATTATAGTAGTGTCAAAACCAGGAAGCTGACTGTGGCATGATGACGGGTGAGTACAGTTCTGGGTCCACTTGTGTGGATTTGTGTAACCATCACCACAGTCAAGACACCCACCTTCCGCCTTCCACTATGCTTAACTCCCATTGACCATCAGTATGCTTTCTGTCTGCATGCTTGTGTCATTTCAACAATGTTGTCTGAATGGAATGACACAGTGTGTGACCTCCTAAGATTGACTTTTTTCACAGTGTAATACATCCAAGTTGTTTTGTGTATCAACAGTTCATCCCTTTGTGTTGCTGAGTAGTATTCTGTGGTGTGGTGGTGCTGTGGTTTAAGCACTGAAGGACGTCTGGGTTGTTTCTGATTTGGGACTATTGCAAATAAAGCTGCTGTAAGCATTAATGTGTAGGTTTTTATGTGAACCTAAATCTTCATTTCTCTAAGATAAATACCCAGGAGTGTAATGGTTGGGTTCTATGGCAAGTGTATGTTTGATTTTTTAAGAATCAACGATTTCCCGGAGTAGCTGTACCATTTTACTTTCCCACGAGCAATGTGTGAGCAATTCAGTTTCTCCTCATCTTTGCCAGCGTTTGGTGTTGTAGCTATTTTTTTAAATCTTAGCTCTTCTAATAAGTATGTTGTGACATCTCACCATGGTCTGACTTGCATTTCCCTGGTAGGTAGTGATGTTGAGCACCTTTTCTTATTTCCCATGTGTATAGCCTTTCTGGTTAAATGGTTCTCCATATCACTTGTTCATTTTCTAATTGAATTGCTTGGGGATTTCTTTTAATGTGAAGTTTTCATTTTTTTATTGCAGTATATTCAGTTTACAATGTTGTGTTAATTTCTGGTGTACTGCATAGTGATTCAGTTATAGATACATATATATATTTCTTTTCATTTTCTTTTTCATTATAGGCTATAACAAGGTATTACAGTTTCCTGTGCTATATAATGTGGAGTTTTGAGTGTCCTTTATATAATGCTAGATATGAGTCCTTGGTCAGCACAATTGGTGGTTTGCACAGTTAGCTCATTTAATCTTCATAACAACCTATAAAGTGGATACTGAGATTATCCCAATTTACCAGATAAGGAAGTCGAGGCACTGACAGGTCAGCGCTATGCCAGGCATGCAGCAAGTGGGGAGTAAATAAGAACAGTGAGCTTGATGCAGATGGAGCTTGGACCTCAGGTGTGTACGACTCCTGGTGCTTTGGTGGAAATGACGGGGCTGCTGGAGATAAGGACAGGAAGTTCAAAGTTAAAGCCAGCAGTAAGTAGAGGGATTTAATATCAGCTCATCAGTCCCCTTTAACAGGCTGGGAAGTTGAGGCACAAGCATTAGAACAGACTCCCATCTGGAAGTTCCAGTAAGCCTGCTGGAATTATCTCTTCTTTTCACCCACATCCTACCTCACTCCGGTACCCAGTTTCCACCACAGGGATTTTTTTTTTTAAGGGAAGGGATTTCTCCCATGCTTGCCCTTTCCAGGGTGCTGGGAGCAGCCTAAAGTCCTAGGAAGCACAGGACCAGGATTTGGAATGCTGGGTTCTGGTCCCAGCCTGGCAGTGAATAGTGTGGGACTCGAGTACTTTACCTCCCCAAACTTTCCATCTTCACATCTGTAAAATGGGTGTAACAACAGTAGCTGGCTGGCAGGGAGGTCGTGTAGATTAAATGGAGTACCAAGGTGGAGGACAGGGGCTTCGGACACACACATGAGTTCAGGATGAAGCACTCTCCTTTCTACCTATGTGACCTTGAACAAGGTGCTGAACTTTTTGAAGCTTCAGTTTACTTATCTGGAAAATGGGGACAATCACTGTTCCTATCCTATAGGGTTGGGGTGAAGATTACATGAGGTGATACATATAAAGTATTTGTACAGATCCCATCTCCGGATGAAAGTGATTCATACATGAAGCACTTCCTTTGTGTCAGAATCCACTTAAGTTGAACTCATGCAAAAAATAAGATTAGGCACCATGACAAGGATACAGGTGCAAATAATTTACTTGGGGTGGGGGGGATCCCAGGAAGCAGAGTGAGAGAGAGGAAGGAAGATAAGGAAGGGAGTTGCTCTGTGGGTATCTGGGGCTCAGTCTCACTGGGCACATTCTGGGAGACCATGAAGGGCATGCCTCAGAATTGTTGCCCTGGGTGGGTGAGGAGGCTGTGATGTTTATCCATCCCCCAGTCCTCCTAGGCTGAGGGTCACTCCTGGGACATTAATTGACTGTGCTTTTACCTGCCCTGTGCTTGAACTAAGCATATACCCATGGCCAGAAAGAGAGAGGGAGAGAGAGACTCTGGAAGGGAGGTACAACGTACAGCGAGCCTGAGTTCTCTCCAAGGGGACTTGGGTGGGTGCTGGCAGCCTCTGCTACACTGCATTAAACATTTAAAACATTAACTCATTCAATCCCTACAACAACTTTAAGAAACGAGCACAATTTCCATCCCCTTTACACCCCGGCCCCCAAATATTCGCAGACACATTCAAGAAGTGAAACTCCCACAACATGCTACAAATCCTTGCCCTGCGCAGTGTCCTCTGAAATTTTCTGTATTTTTTTCTCATGTTATTTTAAAAATGCTATTTGTCACCCACTAACTGTTTTCGTAACCCAGTAATGGGCTGCAATCCACAGTTTTGGAAAAGAGGGTGCCCTAACATTCGGTTTAATAGGACAATGTTGATGACAGTGATGATGTCATGGGGCTGGCATCCAGCCTGGTGCCCAGAAGGTGCCCAGAAAATGTTGGTTTCCTTGCTTGCCCCTCTTGGCAAACCAGAGCCCGTGAGCAGCTGCCTCCCAGACTTGCAGACAGAGGCCTGGGCTGGCCCCAACTCGTCTCCTCCTCTGACCCAGACTTGCCCCGCTGGGGTCTGCTCAGCCTTCTTCAGGGGGATGGGCACCATCTTGGGCTGTGACCTCCAAGTCACCAGCTCCCCAGAAGCCAGCCCCTTCTTGAGAGGCGAGGTTATGCCCTGTCCCCGCAACGCTGTCACTTCCTTCCCCTGAGTCTTTCTGAGTGAGGATTGTTCCCCTAATCAGGATGGAGACGCAGCTCATTACAAGCTGGTGAGGCAACGGCTCTGTACTCCAGGCCCGAGACAGGCTGTCTGGGAGCTTGGCCAGCTTCCCGCTGCCCTGGACACCAGGGCAGTGGCCTCAGAGCAGAGCCAGCCCGCTGGGTTGGTTTGTCCCCTTCCCAGGGGACACAGGCAGACAGATACTCTGCTGAGACTTCCATGGCTTCTACTATTGCAGAAGCCCTGCTGTGCTCAGACAATGAGTTTCTTCCAATACTCAGTGCTGCTTCGAGAGCATCTAAACAACATCTTTAAAAATAACTGACACTTATTGGGCATTTACTGTGCACTAAGCACCATGCTGAATACTTTATATGCAGTGTGTCACAGCATGTAGTCCTTACAGCAGACCCACTAGATAGGCATGATTAGCCCCACTCTACAGATGCAGAAACTGTGGCATGGGATGTTTTGGTACCTTGAGGAGTTCACCAGGCAGTTAGCAAGTGGCCACATCCAGCTGTCCCCAGATTCCATACCTCCTCACACATCGCCCTGTTGCCTGCAGGAACAGCACCCAAAGTCCCTCCTTCCTTCTGGTTTCCAACCCTGGCTTCACTCTGTGCAGCAGCCAGGTGAGTTCCCACAGGTGACTTGGCCTCTCTGAGCCAAGTGGCCCTCATCTATAAAGCAGTTCCTCATGGCACCTCCTCCTCTTCCCAAGGCTGTTAGGAGGAATAATGAAATAACATGTATAAGTGAGTCTCCGAGAGCTCTGGTGCGCTAGAAGGTTCTCAGTAAATCTGTTTACAAAAGAGTCGATTCAGCTCTTTCCCCACTGACTTGATAGCATCCTGCAGCCATTTCCCACAGGCATGATGTCACCTTCCTGAGGGGGGTGGCAGCCCATCTAGAAACCTCCCTGTGCTCCTGGGCTTCTCGCACTTGTGCCTTGTCTTGCCCCACTGCCCGGCCACACTGGCTTCCCCGGGGCAGAAACCTCCAACCTGACTACTACCTCTAGGAGGACAATGAAGAAAACATTTATTTCCTCCAGTGACGGCCCCTCTGTCTGGATGAGGGGCATTGTTGTGTGGCTGCTGTAGATCCTGGTGCTGGAATCCTCATTAGCTGCAGTTTAATTACTGCCTGCAGTGTAGGTATATAATAAAAGTACGTCCCAATTAGTTGCTTGTTACTTGAGAAATAATTACTCATAGTGGCCTTTTTGTCTTTGCTTTAATTCCAGCTTCATCCCCAAGCTGCCTAAATGGAAAAGTTGGGGTTCTGGGGTGCAAGCAGAATGTTCGCACAGAACAGCGTGTGGGGGTCCATGTGTTTGTCTGAGAAGAGTGGAGGGGTGGTGATGGCCGGGTCTCACCCCTGAAGACATCTCTGCAGAGAAAAGCCCCGGATCTTTATTCCAAGTGAAAGACAGAGATCTGGTTCTGCTGTCAAAGCAAGTGGGTCTGAGATGGGCTGCCCTGCATACAGACCACAGAGCTGCCGGCCTCCCGTGGTGAACCATGCCTGTGACGTGCCCCTCCGCTGCCCCGGGGGGCCAGGTCCCAGCCACTAGCCACGGCAGGACAGGCACAGCTGGATGGCAGGGCTGCTTTCCAGGGCAAGGAGTGGGGGCGGTGCCATTTCCCCTGCGAGGACAGAGCCCGGGTCTCGGCCACGCCTCTGATCCACAGTCTAACGGGGTCTTTCTACCACTGGGAGGAGAACTTGGGCATGCCGCGACCTCAGAGTTCCCCCAGCAAGTGAGGCATACGCAGTGACCAGCTGTCTGGGCTCCGTCGGGGCTGTGCCCAGGTAAGGGCATCCACAGCTTTGTGCCAGCCACCACAGTCTCCTAGCTTTGGGGCATTCACCCCTTGTCTGAACCTGCTTTCATGCTGCTTTGCCTTTTTAACTTTTATTCTGTTGCACCTGTGAGACTTTTGCCGTTGCCGCGCCGAGGATCTCTTGTCTTTGGAAGTCGTGTAGTGATTAGAAGTAACATGTGCTTATTATATGCCAGACACTTTTCTAAGTGCTTTAGATGCATTTACTCATTTCACCCTCACAGACAACTCCCTGAAGTAAGTACAGTAATTATCCTCAGCCCTGATTTGCAGATGTGGAAAGGCTGAGAGAGGTTATGTAATTTGCCTAAGGTCACCCAGGCCATCAACGGCATAGCTGTGGATTTTTTCCCAGGCAGTTGGGCTCCACAGCCCAGCTTTTGACAACTAGATAATCCTGCCTCTTATTGGAAAGACTTGAACTGTTACAGAACTAGGTACATCACAGTGCAAATATCACCAGTGGGTTTTCTTTGATTGGCTCTGAATAATATATTCTTTCATTGACCTAGATTTTTTTTTTTTAATTCTTAGGTTGACTTCATTCTAACTCTGTTCTCTGAAAGCTTCTCCCCACGTGGACCCTCCTGGGCAACTCTAGCTAGATGCCCTCTGTTGTCAGCGTTTCTGCAGCTTCAGTGATGAATGAAGTGGTTAGAGAATCTTTTGGACTTGGCCCAAGGGCTGTGACTTGGGCCATCCTCATTTTGAGGTGACAGAGCCCTCTTTCCCACTGTGCTCAGCCCTTTCCCACATGTCCTGTCCCTCGTCCTTCATGACCAACTTGTTAAGGGAAGAAGCCACACGGCTAAGCTAGTAATTTGCTTTTTTCCCACCATGATCTTTGGTCTCTTTCCTCCTGAGGATCTTTTCCAATGAAATTACAAACTATTTGGCTGGAGGAACCTGCTGAAAATTCATCCTTTCTTGTGTTTTCCTTCTTGCCTCCTGTTCATTTCATCTGTGGGCCCAAACCACGATGCTGCCTCATTGTCCATAATCTGGGCTTTTCTGTATTTGGAAGTTCATTTGGAAAATCGGGTCTATGGGGCAGAAGTGCTCCACTTCATCCCAGACACAAAGGGGTCCTCTCAAGGTGCAGAAGGTTTGGGATTGAGTACATAAGCAGACAAGCATAGCCTTTGAGGAGAGGAGTGTGGGAGGGTGGGGAGACAAAAAAAGACTCATAAATTGTACCTCAGTTTATTTAGACATGGGGAGCTTATTTGTGTTTATTTCATGCTCACATCCCAGGGTTTCACAGAATGCCCCTGTAATCTACGCCAGAGGCGGGAGGGCTCTTGCCAAAAATCTCCTGATGGCCAATCTTTTTGGAGCATCAGGTGAAACGCAGACCTGGGGGCTACCCTGTTTGAGGGCCAGCATGAGGGGGACCTGGTCCATTTCCCTAGCTCCTGGGCTTTCTCCTCCTCTTGTGCATGCCCCTCCTCTGCCCAGTAACATGTGTCCAGGAAAATCTCAAGCCTCAGTAGGTAACAGTGCTTCTTTTCCTTGCTCTCTAAACTGGCTTGCTCCCCTGTCTTAGTTTGGGTCCTCCAAAACTGACCCTGAGGAATGCAAGGCGTTTATTTGGGAAATGATTCCAGGAAGTGTTATGAAGGAGTAGGGGTGAGGCAGAGAGAACAGGAGGTCAGTAAAAGGGGTCTCGTGGGTGGGTAACTGTTGTGGGAGGCTGGGGCTCAGTCCAACAGGGGGCCCTCTGAGGGATGGTGTGGAACACACCTCAGAATTGTCCCACCGATGAGGTGTTGATTCGTCAACTCACAGGCCTCATTGGTTGAGGGGTGCTCCTGGGGTGTCATCCCCCAGCACTTCTGGCTTGCCCTATTTGATGGCCAAGCATCTCTCTCAGAGAGGGGATGGCTCCATGCAGAGGGGCACTGCCGCTGTCTGTGGGTGACCTTGAGGCCATGCCAGCGGTGATGCCAGTGTGTCAACAGTATCTGCTAGAGCAACCAGACGCTCAAATACCATGAGTGTCGCACGAAAGACTAGCAATGGACAATATTTACCTCCAACCTCTAACCAGTTACGTGGATGTGGCTGTTCCTGGTCTGCCCAAACCTTGGAGGTAGGACCACTGTCATATCTACAGCATAGCGTTGCAGCTGAGAGCAGACTTTGACTCTGGAGCCAGAATAACTGGATTTACATCTCATCTCTTCTGCTGAGCAGATGTGACTCGAGCAAATTACTTAGCCTCTTTGAGCCTCAGTTTCCACACCTGCAAAATGGGGGTAACAATAGTATCTATTTGACAGGGTTGTTCTGAAGGTTAAAATGGTTAATACATTAAAAGCACGTACAACAGCTGCTGGCACACAGTAGGTGTTCACTAAACACTAGCTGTTGTTGTCGTTCGGTGATGAGAACACAGGCTCAGGCGTGATCCTGAGCTACCTGGTGGATGCATGACCTTCCCTCAGCCTTTCTGCGGCAACCATAACCCCTTTTCTTCTATGCCACACGACTTTGTAATCATTAATATGTGTGAAAGCACTTTATAAACTGTAAGGTGCTCCACAAATACTGTGATTATGTGAGGACTGTTTCCTGGTCCTTGTAACAGCAGATACCGTCTTGTTCTCTTAAGGGCGCCAGTCTAGCTTTTGAATTCTGCTATTTGTTATTGCTGTGTAGCTGGACTGGGCACAGTGCCTGGTTGGATGTCAGCTAAGTGGATGAGCTACCAAAGCCCCCAGGATGGGCCCCACTGACACATCCCACCAGAGCCCCCACCCTGGGACTTGTGCTTAAGTCCGATTTTATCTCCACCACATACCGCAAGTGCTGCCTCTCCCAACACCAATGGGCCCTGCTTGGAAGTGCTTCCAGCTCTGCCTGCTCTTGCAATCACTGTCACCCACGCACAACATCTCCAGTTTCTCCTTCCCCTTGCCTCCCCCAGCAGCCCTCCCTGAGAGCTCCCTGGGCTCACAGCTGCCCTCTCCTTGCTCCCAGCCTCACCCCGATGTGTGCCTCGTCAGGTGCTCCCGTGGTGTCTGAGAGTGGGCTCCCCACCCTGCCTGGAAGCTCCTTGAGGTCAGAGCTAATTGGCATCCATCCTTTATTTATCTGTTTATCCATTGTGGTACTCAGCACTGGACCTCATTGGGTAATTAACTGGGAAATCTGGACACAGAGAATGAGCTTGGTCCATGGCTAGAGGAGCTCAGTCTGGGAGGAGAATGGCCTGCAAACATCCCTAAGGATGACAGTGAATCTTGGTGAGGACACAGAGCTGAGAGCACCCAACTAGGGTCCTCTCCCTCCATGCAGTGGAGTCAGAAAGCCCTTACTGAGGTGACACTAGAGCTGAGCTCTTGGCTTAGGGTTGATTGGGTTGCAAGGAAAAGCAGCCTTTTCTAGGAAAAGCCTGGTCGAGGGCGAGGGGGAGGGGGCTGGATATTAGAGGAATACAAGGAACCTTTAGGAAGCAAAGAGCAGGACCTTCCCCATGGAAGTGGGAGAGTTGTCAGGACCCCTGGTCTCTTCTGCTGTTACTGTCTGCCCTGCCCATCTCCACACAGCTTCCTTTCTCTGCATGGTCCAGCTCTGAGCCTAGATGACCACCCTCACCTGTGCCCCATGGCCTCACCATACAGTTCCCAGTGTCTTTGACACTGACCAGCCCAGCCTGAGCCAAATGTCCATCCCCACTTCAATCGACTTTGGCTGGGGAAGCAGGGCATCTAATACAAAACGGCCACCTCAGCGCCGAGCAGGGCTGGGAGGCAGGGACTGCATCTTTATGACAGTTTTGAAGGGGAGTGTGTTAGATTCCTGTGGCTGCCATTACCAATTACCATGAACTTAATGGCTTAAAACCACCAAAAATTATTCTCTCACCATTCTGGAGGCCAGAAGCCCCAAATCAAAGTGTTGGCAGGGTAGTGCTCCCTTCAAAGGCTCTGGGAGCCCTCTGTTTCTTGCCTCTTCCAGCTTCTGGTGGCTCCAGGTGTCCCTTGGCTTGTGACAGCATCCCTCTAGTGTCTGCCTTCATCTTCACGTGGCCTTCTCCTCGGTGTCTTCTCCCCTTATGGGGACACTTGTCATTGGATTCAGGGCCCACCGTCTTCCATGAAGCTCTCATCTTGAGATCCTTAACTTCATTACCTCTGTAAAGACCATCATTCCAAAAAAAGGTCACATTCGCAAGTTCTGAATGGACGTATCATCTGGGGGCCGCCATTCAACCCATCACAGTGAGAGTCTGACAGATGGAAAAGGGAAAGTCGGGGGCTGATCAAGATGAAAGAAGAGCTAAGGACGGTTGCTCAGAAAATAATGACATTACTGTGGCAGGGCCACAAGGTTTGCTGATGGCAACAGGGAGGGGGGTGGTGCTGAGGTTAGGTGGGACCAGACCACGAAAGGCATGTGTGTCATAGGAGCTTCACCCTGGGGATAGCAAGAGGGCCACTGGTGGTTCTTGAGCAGTGAAGGCAGACCATCCTGACTGCAGCCTGGAGCCCTATTAGAGGCAGATAGGAATGGAGGGAGGGAGACTGCCATTCAATAAATGGTGATAAAGTACCTAGTATGTGCCAGGCATGTTTCAAGAGACTTGGAGGATAGCAATGGAGAAAATGAACTAAGCTGCCAGTGCTTTATTAGATCTTAAAACTAAAGGAAGGAAAGAAAAAAAAAGGCAAAGAAACAAAAATTTATCACATTAACTAGCGATCAGAACTGAAAAGGAAAATAAAGCAGAGAAAGGGGTACAGCGAGTGATGGAAGATTTTGGTGCAGGAGGTTCAAGAAGAACCTCTCTGATGAGGGTGACATGGGAGCAGAGTCTGAAGGGAATGAGGGGGGAGCCATATGGTTTCTGAGGGGACAGTGTCCGAGGCAGAGGGAATGGAAAGTGCAAATGTCCTGAGGCAGGAGCATGCTTGGCAGGTTCCAGGAAGACCATGGAGGAGAGTGTGGCTGGAGGAGAATGACCAAGGGAAAAGCAGCAGGTGAGAGTGTCAGAAAGGAAGTGCGGCTGGACCATGTGGGACCTTGGAGGCCCTGGTGGAAACCTGGCTTTTATTCTGCATGAGGTGGAGAGATTTTGGAGGGTCTTAAGCTGAGAAACATTATTGGACTGCTCTGAGGGTGTGTGTGGAGGAGGGGGAGGAGGGATTGGGGGCCAGGAAGGGAGTAGAGTAGGAGAGGGACTGTGAGAGTAAGGGTGAAGGATGACACTAGCTTGGAGGGAGGTGTTGGTGGTGAGGTGGTGAAAAGTGACCAGATTCTGAATGTATTTTAAATGTAAAGTTGATATAATTTGCAGATGGATTGCCTGTGGAGGAGAGAGAAAGGGGAGTCACAAAAATGACTCCAAGATTTAAGCCTGAGCAACTGGCAGGATGGGGCTGTTGTTTACTCAGATGAGGGGCCCTGGAAGGACTGGGGTGGGGTCGAGAGGTTGGGGACATGCATGCTACTGGTGGTTGGGAAATGTTAAGTTATTGAACCTTGTTTTGTGCAGAGCACTGTTCTAAATACCTTGCAGGTATTCACCCCTCTGGGACTCGCAGGGTCCTTGAGATGCGCACCATAATCGCCCCCTTTCTTACAGGTGAAGACACGACAGTACCAAGAAGTTAATTTACTTACCCACTGTCTCTCAGTTAGTGAGTTGCTGAGCTGGGATTGAGTCCAGACTACGCAGGACAGCCACCGGCTTTTTGAGAGGGGGAAGGGGAGGGACGGGGCAAGGGATATGTATTTAGGAAAAACACACCCAGAGGAGATACTGACACTCCTCCTCCCAGCACTCCCCACCTCGGCCCCCACACTCTTCTAGATCTTTGGCTTTCGGGAGAGACTCTTCACCGACTAAGCCAGCCCCATCTAAGATCCTCTCACCAGGAGGATAAAGGACTTCTCCACGCTGATTTTAAGTGTATTTATCATTTCCTCTTGTTCTGTTTGTGAAATGCTGGCTTTGCTTCTACTTCAAAAAATACTCTGCGGGGAAAAAAAAATTCTCGGTGAATGTTTCAGTTTCCAAGCCCCAAACCATTTCTAAATATTATTTTTAAAAAAGGAAAAATAATGAAAAGTGGCCTAGGCTCCGTGGAGCTGAGTAGGCCTGTCCAGTGTTGCGAGTGAGGATGGGCGGGCCAGGAGGAGGTGGGCAGACAGCCCGCCCTGCCTCGCCTCCCTGGGAGCAGCTACAAGGCTACCTCCTTTGCCTCCCTTGTTTGCCTGTAAAGGATTCATTCTGGAGGCTGCCCTTTTCCGAAGGCCTCTAGCAAGGACTTTGCAAAATGAGTCCTCTCTTTTCTTAGCATCATTAGATTTCAGATTTGGAAGGCCTTGGGGGTTCAAGGCCCAGGGCCCAGGCTGTGTTGTCTCCCAGGATGCCCTGTTCCCAGGCAACCCTGGGCAGAACTGCAGCTCATCTTGGAGTCTGTTCGGGGACAGAGCTGACTGATGATTCCAGGAAATCCGGGGCCCTGTGGAATCTCACCCATTCACATCGAAGCCAACGGTTAGTGGGAGTGAATGAGAGGCCTGCCTTCAGGACTGGTTTTAAATTCTATAATTTTATCTGCTTGAGTTCCATTGAAGTACTCAGAGGCAGTTCAGCAGAGATCGGTGGGGGTGAATTGCTTGATTAAAGAGATGGGAATAATTTGTGACTGGCTTCTTGGCAGCACGAGCCAGGCTCCTTTGTTTGGCTGTCAAGATCCTGCAGGAGTTAAGCCTCTTTATTTGCTTTTTATTTCAGAATGTCTTGGCTATTGAATACTGTTGTGGGCTGGGTAATTCACTGGGTGCACATTGGTCGCTTCATTTAATCCTCACTCCAATCCTGAAGTCTAAATGTTGTAAAACTCACTGCCAGATGAGGAAACTGAGGCTCAGAGAGGCCACCTTGTCCCCGGTGTCACAGCTGACAAGGGCTCGGTGTCCAGTGCTCCTCTGTGACCCCACCTTAGCACCTGTCTGTTTTCCTCCTTTCTCTCCCCTGTCTGCCCTCCACCATCAGTGCTCCAGATGTCTCAGCCAAGCTCTGCTCTGTCCCCATGCTGTGTCTTTGCTCCTGGGGCTGCTCCAATCAGGCATATGATGTTCATCAAATCCAAATCCCCGAGCCCTGCTCTGACCCCTTCTTCGTTCTCCAGGAGAGCACACGAGGGGAGCCCCAAAAGGCCACGAGGAAGCAAGGGCACATTGAATCATGTCTACCAAGAGACGTGGCACCCAGAACATCAGTCGCTGAGAGGAAGAGCTCCGGCAGGTCCCTATTCTTGCTTCTCAATTATCGTTTATTTTTGTGGTTTCTCAGGCTAACTGCAGTCCTAAAGGTGTGCCAGCAGCCTGGCCTTACCTGAGGTCTTGAGAAGAATGCAGAATCAAATGCAGAATCCCTACTCCAGATCCACTGAATCAGAACGTGCACTTTAACAAGACCCCAAGCGATTCAGAGCGTAGTCACTGACGTCAGAGGTTCACTGCTTGAGCTGGTGGTACCCCATTCACACCCACGGTCAAGTCCCAGTCCAGGGCAGTGGCAAGAATTTGCCCATAGCTGTGCACTGTTCCGCCTCTTTGCTGCTAAGGCCTTCTCTTGCTTTGTGTGGGCACAGTGAATGACTCCCACTGTATGTTAGGTGAGCCCAGCTTCACCATTGGCCCTTCAGCTTCCACTCAGATAGGCCCCCCAGGAGTGGGTTTGACCCCCAAGGCTGACTTCTCTCCCAGATCTCCCCTGTGTCTGCCCTTGAAACTGAGAGCCCTTTCAGCCTGGAGCAGAGACAGGATGATTCATTTAAACTTCCCTATTCCTGCTCAGCTAGGCATGGGGACTGGCTCTGCCCATGTTGCCACCTATTTTTTTTTAAGTGAGCCCCTTTTTATTTATTAATTTTCAATTTTCAATTTTTTTTTTTTGTTAATGGAGGTATGGGAGTTTGAACCCAGGACCTTGGGCATGCTAAGCACATGCTCTACCACTGAGTTATATCCTCCCCCCCTCACTTTGCCATCTTGAGCTTTGGGCAAGGCAGCCCCACCTGGTGAGTGGAGGGGGCTCTGCCTTTCTAAGCAGGGTGAGGGCAGCTGTGGGTCGAGGCTGCAGGCAGAAGATGACCAGTTCTGCATTTCAGTGTTATCTCGCTGTGCTTGACCCAATCCAACAGGCTTCCTATCCCATCAGTGGACTGCACTCCTTACCCCAAAGGAGGGAGTAAGCAGGTAACTCTCCACTCACAGCTCAGCTCTTTTCCTTATCAGCCTCAGAGTCCCTAATGAAAGGATGTGGCTGGGCTGAGAATGCGACTGAGGGATGAGAAAGAAAACAGATCCATTGAGCGAGAGGCAAGATGGGAGCTCAGATTACAGGTTCTTAATCACAGTGTAGAAGGGAAGCTTCGTGCCTAGAGGGAACCAAGGAGAAAAATACTTCATGCCTTTGGAAACCTTTCAGCAGAGATTCCTCTAACAAGATAACTGACCACAGAACCTTGGTCTTGTTTCTTTATGATCCTTCATTTTAATTTTTATGCTGGGTCAGGAGGCTAAGTGTCAGCGCTTCCGTATATGCGTCGAGAGCTGCTTCTCTCCAGAGTCTGCGCTGTGCGTGTAAGTGCATTAGCCCATTGTGTAGCCGGAACTGCCCCATTCATTCTCCCATTTTACAGATGAAGACAAGGACAGTAACAGACCCAGGGTCCACAGCTGGTCGCAGTCGGGGCCAGCATCCAAGTCCAGCTGTCTGCACTTTTCTACTTCACCACATTCCACTATATGCCAGCAGTGCAAATGGGCTATTTTAGGACTTTTCATAGATGTGGGGTCCTTCTAGCAGAACTCGT